ATATAGAATTATTACAAATAAATAAATAATGTAATTTTTATCATTTTTGCAAGATTTGAAAACATCACTTTCAGATAATTTATACCGTTCACGAATTACGTCTTGCGTCACGAATTGAGTCTTGCGTCACGAATTACGAATTACGTCTTGCGTCACGAATTGCGTCTGCGTCACGAATTGCGTCTGCGTCACGAATTGCGTCTGCGTCTTACGTCTGCGTCTGCATCATGGATTGAGTCTTGCGTCACGAATTGCGTCTGCGTCAATGCGTCTCACACTAAACTAATTGCGTCACACGACTTTTAATTTTGACGACATGTATACCCAATATATACCTAAAAACAGTTTTAGGTCACGTGATACACATTATTATCAAAAAATTTCAATATAACCTAATTAAAACTAAAAACAACAACAAAAGTCTATGTAAAAACCATTATTCGTAAGTATGAGTAATTGCAATCATAATTCCCACTGATCTCTATTATACATACATACATACATACATATATATATATATATAAACAGTGATGGACTCAAAGCAAAAGATTTACCATGTTTGTTGGAAGAAACATCAAGACTAAAGATGGCTCCTCAATTGATTGTGACTAGTTGCAACTATTCATGACATATAAAAATTTATCGCAGCATATGAAAATTGAATCGTGGCTAAAGCTCCGAAACGGGCCAGGCTAACCCGAAATTTTTCGGGTCGGGTTCATTCGGGTTTAAAAATTTTGACCCGAAACCCGAAAACTTTTTGGACTGTACCGATTATACTTGAGGTCAAATTGCAAATAAAAATCCTAAAAATTTGCATTGCGCCACCTGTCATAATTTATACAACTGATGCAATTCGTGATGCAAGTCTCAATTCATGGTGCAAACATGATTCATGACAATTTATTAACTAACAGACCCTTTTTGGCCATGAAGCATTTATGTTACATTAAAAAATTAAAAAGTTCTCGTGCAATAAATAAAGAGTTTTATATGTGATTAAAGTTTGAATTAATTCATACACATCATCACGATTGTCCGAAATTATTTTAGCAATCCGAAGTGGTCTCGCCTACAGAAATTAGGAATTTAGGCTTTTAATTAGTGACAGAACTTAAAAATTGCCTAAACTATGGGTAATATTCTAAACTGTGGTTAAATTGTCAAACTTATGAGCAAAGTTTTATAATAAAACGGATTTATCGAAGTGCCGTCCAATCGTATGTCGAACATGTGATCTATGTAGTCTCTCTTGTTTTAATATTTATATTCGCATTTTTATTATTTATTTATATATTTATTAAGAAATCAATTCTTTTTTTTGTTCAATAAAAACACTTTTGTAGTCGGAAATTAAACAGTAGAGTTTAAATTGATTGCTTGGTTTTCGCCCGCAGTTTAGGTTTTACCAACTTCGCCGCGAAATTATGCTTAAACCAAACTGTGGGTTAGCTCCAGCCACCATCACTAGCATTGTGTACCTCACAAAATGTCTTGAGTCACGTCTTGCATCACGAATTGTCTTGAATTACGTCTTGCGTCACTAATTGCCTTGAGTCATGTCTTGCGTCACAAATTATTTTGCGAATTACATCCTACATCTCTTGCATCTCGGATTGTGTTTTGCATCACGCATAACACCATTTGCAGCTTTTAAACCAATATAACTGTTTCGCCTTTTGTAATTAATTAATACTTATCTAAACTTATCATTATTTAAATCACAAAACTTTCTTATTAACCCGAAATCAACCCGAAATTTTCGAGTTGGCCTTTAAAACATTCAGGCCAAACCCAAACCCAACCCATTTGGAGTTTTACACATAAAAGTGAAAACATTGATCTATGTATGTTTATGATGACAATGATTATTAAAAATTAAAAATTACATTTATTTTTATTTTTTTTTTCAAAAATCATTATTTTAGTGTGCATCTAAACAAGTGTGAAT